CCCATTATAATCTTTATCAATGCTTGCATTTATTATACATTTATGCTATCGTCGAGTATAACAAATTAAGTCCACCATTTAATGCTTCTGAACTCTATTCGTTATACAAAAGCTTTGGTTATTTTATCTAGAATTTATTAAGTTCAACTGAGATTCACCCTTTAACTCATCTTTAATTGGTTTAGCAATTATTTGCTCAAACAATTTGGCGCCGTCTGTGGGGAGGTTTTAGTTGAAACTATAGTTCTTTCCAGGTCAAAAAAAGCCGTCTTTTCTTCGTTCGTACAAACTAACAATGGCAGGAAAAGGAGACGCAAAACTGAAAGCGATAGCGGGCGTCACTGCCAACATTCTGAACACCATCAACGAAGATGGCAGGGGAGACAACGAGAACGTGAAACCAAACGCCACGCCCAGGTTGAGTGCTTCGCCTCCCCCTCACGAAAGCGTAACAGTTTCACGTGAAAGGGGAGCTTTCACGTCTACAGCTGAGGAAGCACCACCAGCAGTGAAGAAATTACTGGAAGAGTGGCTTACAAGCACCCTAAACAACATGCTCGACAAACCCATTCAAAGGGAAAGCAGAAATACCACGCAAACAGACACCACTGCGATCGCTGGCGAGCAGCCATCCCTCAAACAAGTATCACTTGCACCTCTGTTGATGCAGGTAATGATGCACTCACAGCCATCCTGAAAAAGATGGAAGAAATGGAAAACGAAACAAGGAACTCCGTGACCAGATGAGGGAACATCAAAAAAGGGTCGATAAGATACCGGGTGCCCCAAAACTACTATCAAAACGAGACGTTGGTCGGTTCGTCGTACAACCGTATAGAGAGGAAGCGACTCCACATGACATTCCCAAAACCTTCAAAATGCCACCTTACCTGAAGATATACGATGGTACTACAGATCCCGAAGATCACATTATCCATTACGCCACAGCGGTAAAAGGCAACGACCTCTCAAAGGAGCCAGTACCGTCAGTGCTACTGAAAACATTCGGCGTAACCTTGAGGGGGGGGGGGGGGTCTTAACTTGGTATTCACAACTACCGGTGTGGTCAATAGCAACGTTCGAGGAAATGGCCGACAAGTTCGTCACTGCCCATGCAGGGGCTAAAAAGGCGGAAGCTAGGGTGAATGACATATTCACCGTCAGGCAATCACCTGGCGGGGACTCGGGGACTTCCTGACCCGGTTTTACAGAGTGAGAATGAGCCTACCAAATGTATCGGAAGGGATGGTAGTAGCGGCTTTCCAGAACGGGTTGAACATGAACGGGTCGAGAGCAACCAGAAAGATACTAAGCAGGCTCATGAAATACCCTCCTACCACTTTTGGAAGAAATCCATAATGCCTATTGCGCCGAGGTAAGAGTTGACGAAGACGACCGTAACGGCCTGACTCAGCGGCTGACATCGGTTCAAATAGAGTCGAGAAAAGATTGTCGTAACGACGGTCGGAGAGATCAACCAGGTCCCCGTCTCAATCGAGAAAGACATCAGCCCTACGTCAGAACAGCCATCGCACCGTCTCCCCGACATGCGGAAGGGCCGCCCAGGCCACAAACAGGGACTCAACGAAACGAAAGAGGTATCCCTCTACTCTTATCCGCTCACTTTTTTTGTGTTTCCCCTTCAGAAATAGTGTAGGCACTAGAGAAGCTTGGCACAAAGGTGAAATGGCCACAAAAGATGAAGTCTGACCCGAATACACGAAAGTTGAACGTCCTTTATGAATTTCACCAGGAGCGGGGTCACAAAATTGAGGACTGCATAGCTCTACGGCAAGAGGTAGTAAACATGTTGAACCAAGGGCACTTGAGGGAACTGATGAGCGACAATGGACGAGCCAACTTCGGGCGCGGACGAGAACAACACCAGGGACCTCCAAAGCCACCCTCCCCCGCTCGCACCATCCAAATGATCGTTAGCAGAGGCGATGAAGCAGCGATCAACCACGTGAAGTTCACCACCACACACAAACTCAAGCGGTCGATAACTCATGAACGGTACGACGACTTCGGAGACAGTATCATCTTCGATAAGTCAGATACCGAAGGTTTGACTTTCCCTCATTTCGAAGCTCTTGTTATTACTTTACGCTTTTCAGATACTGATGTGAAAAGAATAATGGTAGACGACGGAAGCGGCGCGTGTATTATCCACCCTCAAGTCCTCATACAAATGAGACTCGAAGACAAGATAGTACCGCGTTGCATAACGCTAACAAGTTTTAATAATGCAATTGAGAGAACCTTCGGGGAGATAACGCTGCTCGTTTTGGCCGGGGGTGTCACCCTGGAAACAACGTTCCATGTAATGAACCAGGATACAGCTTACAACGCCATCATAGGGCGGCCATGGATTCATGCCATGAGAGCCATACCGTCAAGCCTATACCAAGTAATAAAGTTCCCTACTCCATGGGGGATATTCAACATTCGAAGCGAGCAACGCACCGCCCAAGAATGCTATCGCATCGCCCAAGACTGGACACACACCCAACAACTAAAAAGAGCAGACTCGGAAGCATAGCAATTACCGAAGTCGGGGATCAGACCTGACGTGCTGACAGACGTCATCAGGGACCCCGACATCGTGGAAGATGCTGAATCAACGATAGAAGATCTTGATCCCGTCCAACTAGATAGCAGTGACATCAACAAAAAGGCTTACATCGGACACAAACTCTCAGAACCAGGTAAATTTCACAAGTTTTTAATTGATAACGCCGATTTGTTCGCTTTCTCCCATACAGATATGCCAGGAATCCCGAAAGACGTTGCCACCCACAAGCTGAATGTCGACCCACTCTATCCACCAGTACGGCAAACAAGGAGAAAATTTAATGCCGCAATCAATGAGGCTGTCAGTGATGAAGTATATAAGCTGCTCGCCAACGGTTCCATCCGGGAATCAAAATATCCCCAATGGGTGGCCAATGTGGTAATGGTAAAAAAGAAAAACAAGAAATGGCGGATGTGCGTAGATTTCACAGACCTAAAAAAAGCATGCCCAAAAGACTCCTTCCCCTTGCCTCACATCGACCAGCTCATCGACGCAACGGCAGGGCACGAATTGTTAAGCTTCTTAGACGCCTACTCAGGTTACAACCAAATCCTCATGGAGGAGGAGGATCAGGAGAAAACTACTTTCATCACCCATCAGGGGACGTATAGTTACAGAGTCATGCCATTCGGGTTAAAGAATGCAGGAGCAACGTACCAAAGGTTGGTCACCAAGATGTTCAAAGATCAACTCGACAAGACAATGGAAGTCTACATCGACGACATGCTGGTCAAGTCAAAAAGGAAAGAAGATCACATCGACCACCTTAAAGAGACCTTCGGTATATTAAGGCGGTACGACATGAAACTGAACCCCGAAAAATGCACCATAGGCGTAACCTCGGGCAAATTTCTCGGTTTCTTGGTATCACAAAGAGGCATCGAATTATAGATCGACTTTAACAGTCCTGCCGGAGACGAACTGGATCCTGTCCGCTCTACCATGGATGAAGCGGCAATTATGGCACTCAAAGCTAAATGGAGAGTCCCAAACCATATCGACATGATACTGGCGATGATGGTGGCATTGTGCACTTGAACCTCCCGGGGTACTGCGCATTTTATGCGTATCCTCTCGATGCACAATTCCTCTCCCTTCTCTAGTGATAGACTTCTGCAGTTTCTATGAGGTGTGCCCAACTCAGCTCTCACCGTACGCGTACAAGCTTTTCCTCATGCTCATCAAGTATGCGGAGCTCGGCGGTCGAGGGATTACTTTGGGGCACATGCTTAATATTTTTGCCCCTCAATTTCTTCGGGGCACGATGATTCATCTGCGCCATCGGGGAGCCAAGAGTTTAGTGGTGAAGATGGATGATAAGGCTAATCGTCGCTTCTGGGAAAGCTATTTTTACGTGCGGACAAAGCACCTTGTGGCGGACCCGGCAGGGTTCCCTGAGACATGGAACTTCGCTCGTAAGTTCTGTTTGTTTTGTGATTTTTCTCAAGGCGATCGCCGATCGTTCTTCTTTGGGCGATTTTGCTAATTTGTTTTTACTTTTTATCCGAGAGACTACCTCCCCCGCCGATTGACGATATTCGTGAGTGGGTGGGCACGGTTCTTCCCCATACAAGGGGCATTCGTGAGTGGACGTCCTTCCACGAGAAATACGGGCGTAAACCTCTCACTGGTGAGTCGGCCTTCTCTCTTTTCCGTAAGGTTCGATCTTGTTATTATATGACCATTTTTCTTTGTTGGCAGGGAGAATGCAAAGGACGAGCGCTCCTTCTCTCGCATTCCGTCAATCGGCGCCCCCTGCCCGTCCTGCGCCGAGGGCTGCTATTCGGCCTGCATCGAGAATCGCTAACCAGTCTGCGCCTGCGGCCGGAGCTGCAAACGTGGTGGCTACTTCTCAACCTGAGACTCCGGTTCCTACTGCCCGCTCCACAATCGAGTCATCCCATGCTGGTAGTGGAGAGGGCCCATTGAAGAGATGACGGGTGGCCCTGGAGGTGGCGCCTTTAGCCGAAACATCATCGGGGGTTTACCTTGCCCTGAAGACACCTGATGTCGCGGTGATGTCAGTACGGTCATAGAGGCTGCGCCAGTTACGAGACATCAACAAGCCGAAGTGGTGGGGAGACAGAGTCGCTCGGCCGCCACTACTGTCTCGAGCGGTCCTTCGACCTCCCGGCCGACCCGTACTTCTTCGCGGACCGAAGAGAGGGGGAAAGGTGTCATGGTCGATGACTACGAGTCCGAGTCCGACCTTGATCCTGACGACATTAGGATGTTTGAGGAGGGCTTCACCTGAACCGTGGTAACGGCGGGGGGTCCTTCTCGGATACTTGAGATCCCGTCGGACCTCAACCTTTTGCAAGACGCGGTGGATTTTGTGCCGCAGTTTGATATCTTGTGCTCGACCGCGGAGAGTGGAGCTCTTTAGGACGTCAGCGACGTCGAACTATCACGTGGTGTGGCCGCGATGGGTCTAAGGGTGAGCTCTTTTCTGTATGTTTTCCTTTGTTCGTTGTTTTTTCGTTTAATTTTGGCCCTTATCGACTATCTCCCTCTCTTTGTTTTCAGTCTTACATGCTGGAGATCGAGAGTGATCGCAGGGTCGAGACTCGGGCCAAGATCTTTCTGACGATGCTTGAGAATTATAGGCGGCATCGCAATAGGTGCCGTGAGATGCATGAGTGGCTCAGGGCGGGCGCTGACACCCGATCCCTCGGAGAGGAGTTGGAAAAGCGGGACCAGGAATTGATGCAATCCATTCGCAGGTGTAGTGAGCTCGAGAAGCTGCTTCGTACCAAGGATGAAGAACTCAAGTTAGGAAAAGGGGTTGCTGCCGAATGCAAGCATCTTCAGGCGAAGGTGTCGTCATTACAAGACGAACTTGATCAGAGTGCTGCCAGAGTCGAAATTCTGAGTGCGGAATGGATGGGGAAGTTATCCGAGCTGGAGAGAAAAGTAGCCGAATTGGAGAATGTCGAGAATGCTCGAGCGTCTGCTTTGGCAAGGGTGGCAGCATTAGAGGACACTATCCGCGTCCTCGAATTTGAGCAGGAGTTCGAGAGGGCAACGGCCACGCAGAGGGAGGCGCGGCTCGAGGAGCGCATTGGCGAGATCGACCGGGAGGCCTCAAGCCTTGGGGACCGCATCGTGGTGCTTGAGGCCGAGAGAGAGCAATTTTTGGCCCAGGTCGAGTCCGCCTCTGCGACCGTTCCTCGACACTTGCATGAGCTTTGGGTTCATGCCGAGGCCCAGCGGGACATCTACAAGGGTTTGTGGGAGGCGGGCAATGTTTCTGAGGCCGTTTATGAAGAAGCCCGGGCGAAGGCACGAGAGGCTCGCGTCAATTGCGGCTACGACCCTGCGACACTGGAGGCTGGCGAGGATGCTGATGTTGAGGAGTTTCCTGAAGACAATGACGAGGAGGATGGCGATGAGTGAAAAATTGCTGTTACTCCTGTATTTTTTTTTATGTTTCTTTTTTTTGTTTCGGACCCGTTTTGGCCGTTTGTAAGGTGCGGCTTCCAAGCATGTATATATAATTAAAGCGGTTGTTTCACCTTTGTATGTCTTTTGATTTTCTTTCCCTTCCCGTTGTTTGTTACTTCTTTTCGTTTTGGCGTAGACCTTTGGATTTTTGTGTGACGAGTCCCGGATTTTTGATCCTGGAATCCGACCTTGATAGGATAGAGTAGAATCTCGTCACGTGACTCCGAACGAAGCCGCTCCGGACTCACGTTCGGACGAGGTTGACTTCTAGTTTATCGATGGCCGTTGGCCGTAAGGGTATTATTTCAAGCCAAGGCCGAAATGTTGACCCACCGGAATTCGAGCGAGATCGTATTCCTCTTTCAGCGATGGCCTTTGGCCGTAAGAGTGTTATTTCGAGCTAAGGTCGAAATGTTAACCCTTTATACTTCGAGCGAGGTCGAACCCTTCTTTTGACGACGGCCTTTGGCCGTAGGGCTGTTATTTCGAACTAAGGTCGAGATGTTAGCCCATTACAATTCGAGCGAGATCGAATTCTTCAATTGGCAACGGCCTTTGGCCGTAGGGGTATTATTTCGAGTTGAGGACGAAATAACCCATTACAATTTGAGCGAGGTCGAATTCTTCGATTGGCGACGGCCTTTGGCCATAGGGGTGTTATTTCGAGCTGAGGTCGAAATGTTAACCCATTACAATTCGAGCGAGGTCGAATTCTTAGATTGGCGATGGCCGTTGGACATGGGGGTGTTATTTCGACCTGAGGTCAAAATATTAACCCATTACAATTCGAGCGAGGTCGAATTCTTCGATTGGCGATAGCCTTTGGCCGTGGGGTGTTATTTCGAGTTGAGGTCGAAATATTAACCTATTACAATTCGAGCGAGGTCGAATTCTTTGATTGGCGACGGCCTTTGGCTGTGGGGGTGTTATTTTGAGTTGAGGTCGAAATATTAACCCATTACAATTCGAGCGAGATTGAATTCTTCAATTGGCGACGGCCTTTGGTCGTAGGGGTATTATTTCGAGCGGAGGTCGAAATAACCCATTACAATTCGAGCAAGGTCAAATTCTTCGATTGGCGACGGCCTTTGGCCGTAGGGGGGTGTTATTTTGAGCTGAGGTCGAAATGTTAACCCATTACAATTCGAGCGAGGTCGAATTCTTCGATTGGCGACGGCCTTTGGCCGTGGGGGTGTTATTTCGAGCTGAGGTCGAAATGTTAACCCATTACAATTCGAGCGAGGTCAAACTCTTCGATTGGCGACAACCTTTGAACGTAGGGGTGTTATTTCGAGCTGATGTCGAAATATTAACCCATTAAAATTCGAGCGAGGTCGAATTCTTTGAATGGCGATGGCCTTTGGCCGTAGGGGTATTATTTCGAGCTGATGTCGAAATGTTAACCCATTATCTCATTGTCGTGGATTTTTGGAGCTTTACAGGTTGCCGTACTGTCTATATATGCATCGGGGTGGTCCCGACATGCTCGGTTTGGTTTTTATGGGAGGATGTCGGGTGTTCCCTTGGTGAGTCCCAGTTTTGCTTAACTTCGTTTGTATTGAAGAACATTATGCATTTCCTCGGTGAGTCCCAGTTTTGCTTAACTTCGCTTGCATTGGAGAATACTTTGGTGGAGAGTACGAAATGTTGCTTTATTTCATTCACTAGAGAATGTTGTACACGTTCGTTTCATACATGCATTGGAGGAGTTTTCATGTATTCATTCCCTTCACCGTTCCGCCTTGAGAGGCAGTCAGTGGGCTGGATGGTGAACCATACTTGAGTTTCGAGACGTCCTGTTCGTCGTCTCGCCAAAAGGGTATGACTTGAGGGGCGTCCTCTTTCAGAAGTCGAAGTATTTGAGGTGGGTGATATTCCAATCGTTTTGAGTTGGAATGCTCTTTTGCCTGCTTGCCCGCGCGAGTTCTTGCATTCACCTATTTGAACCGATAAAGGAGTGAAGATAAACCAGAATGAAATTTTCTGTTACCTCGGCCTGTCGAGTAAGTGGAAGAAAGATTGACGTTGTAGTTTTACTCGCTCCGCCTAGTGCTTGGATGGTGGTTTCTGATTTGGCGGTCGTGTTCGGCTATGTGTTACTAGCGCCTAGGTTCCGCATGGGTTGGACCCGCCTCATTCAATGATTCGTGATGAAATCGAGCCCCGGCCCGGTATCGTCCGATTTGCGCCAATAACAAGAGAAACACGTCAAACTTCGTTCATAGACCATCTAGTGAGTGTGGGAATGTGAAAATAGGGTTGTGGTTACGCTAGGTGACCGGGATCCTATTTTGAATGTGCGTTCGTCGTGTCAAACCTACTGTTACGGGCGAGAAGTGGGTTTTGCTAAGATATTTGTTATAACTTCTACTTTAGGTAGCGTTTTGTCCTAGATTGGTACGGTTGTCTCGAAGGCGTACCTATCGCTCTTTCGAGTGGGTGGTGGCGCCGAGAAGGTGAGGCCATGACAGCCTGGTAGCGATATTCCGCTGATTTTGGATCTAAAGGAAACGAACGAATTTGGCTAAGAAATCCCCACAGACGGCGCCAAATTGGTTGACCAAAAAGTATTAAACTTTTTGTTAAACTAATTAATGAATGGAATAGAGGATAAATCTTAGCCAAAGGTAATTAACTCTAGATCGCAACGTGTTGAGTATAAAAATGGAAGAGAATAAACTAATTTAATATTTCTTGAGATAGCTATCATACATTGAGTGAGAATGGTAAGCTTACATTTGTGATAGATTTGGATAACAGTGGAAGGAATATAAAAGATTAAAAGGAAGCTGCAGATAACTGAGGAATCTTCTCCCCCTGGCTTCGTAGTATTGCTCTTGTTAGTCATAGCCCGTCTTTTTTTTTTGCAGTTCCATCCTTCCCTTTTTATATATCAACAATGTTCCCTTTTATCCAACGGTCTTTGAACAGTCTCCTTTGCCGCGACAGCCCTTTGTTACTTACCTAAGACCGTACGCTTATCCCGCGATGTAAGCTTTTTGATGGCCTGACCTCGACAGGGTTCGTGGGGCCCGTCACCATTACGCCTCGTGGGCATGGCCAAGAAGGGGTCGTATTTTTTTATCGCCTCCAGCTATCAGGGTCAGATTTCGACCCATACAGTTTGTCCCTCCGTCCGTTGGGGTAGTGTTCTAGGTGAGCCCAATGGGCGGACCCTGTATATTAAAGAATTTAGGAGAAATCTGGTCATTATGCGAGGACGGAGTCCTTACGGCGAGGTGGCGGTGATGTTTAAGGAACTTTACTGAACCGTTACGTCCATTTGGAGATGGATCATCACGTCGGTTTGGGCCACCATGAATGCCTATTACGTGTCATTATGACGCACGTTCCCCAGGCACCGCATCGCTTCTCATGCCTTTTCAGCTTTTTGGTAGCTCTTGGGTTTCCCGCTCAGGGCATTCGTGTTCCTATATTTGGGGGGAACTCATCATTCGATTGTTACGCTTTTCGTTTTTCTTGAAGAATTTTGCAAACTTCCACCTTCTTCCATATTTCATACTCGTGCTTCTGTCAGAAGGAGACGTATCCACCCTTTTTATTCCTTCGTCACTCTTGTTCATCCAACCAAGCTAGATAAATGGCTGGTTCCTCTTCTCAGACTGATAGATTCGTCGGAGCCCTGGCGCCGGAAAACGATACACCCCTTTATGGAGAGGGGGTGGAGGTGGCGGAAGATGAGAGGTTTCCGACCGTGGATGAGATACTTCCCCGTCCAGGGAAGTTATGGACCAACTTTAACAGTCCTGCCAGAGACGAACCGGATCCTGTCCCCTCTACCATGGATGAAGCGGCAATTATGGCGCTCAAAGCTAATTGGGGAGTCCCAAACCATATCGACATGATACCGGCGACGGGGGTGGACATTGTGCACTTGAACCGCTCGGGGTGCTACGCATTTTATGCATATCCTTTCGTTGTCGGGTATACGCTTCCTCTCCCTTCTCTAGTGACAGACTTCTGCCGTTTCTATGAGGCGTGCCCGGCGCAGTTCTCACCGTATGCGTACAAGCTTTTCCTCATGCTCATCAAGTATGCGGAGCTCGCCGGTCGAGGGATTACTTTGGGGCACATGCTTAATATTTTTGCCCCTCAATTTTTTCGGGGCACAATGATTCATCTGCGCCATCGGGGAACCAAGAGTTTAGTGGTGAAGATGGATAATAAGGCTAACCGTCGCTTTTGGGAAAGCTATTTTTACGTGCGGACAGAGCACCTTGTGGCGGACCCGGCAGGGTTCCCTGAGACATGGAACTTCGCTCGTAAGTTCTGTTTGTTTTGTGATTTTTCTCAAGGCGATCGCCGATCGTTCTTCTTTGGGCGATTTTGCTGATTTGTTTTTACTTTTTAGCCGAGAGACTACCTCCCCCACCAGTTGGCGATATTCGTGAGTGGGTGGGCATGGTTCTTCCCCATACAACGGGCATTCGCGAGTGGACGTCCTTCCACGAGAAATACAAGCGTAAACCTCTCACTGGTGAGTCGGCCTTCTCTCTTTTCCGTTAGGTTCAATCTTGTTATTATATGACTGTTTTACTTTGTTGGCAGGGAGAACACGAAGGACGAGCGCTCCTCCTTTCGCATTCCGTCAACCGGTGCCCCCTGCCCATCCTCCGCTAAGGGCTGCTATCCGGCCTGCGTTGAGAGTCGCTAATCAATCTGCGCCTGCGGCCGGAGCTGCAAACGCGGCGGCTACTTCTCAACCTGAGACTCCGGTTCCTACTGCCCGCTCCACAGGAGAGTCATCCCGTGCTGGTAGTGGAGAGGGCCTATCGAAGAGACGACGAGTGGCCCTGGAGGTAGAGCCTTTAGCCGAAACATCGTCGGGGGTCGACCTTGCCCTGACGACACCTGATGTCGGCGGTGATGTCAGTCCGGTCATAGAGGCTGCGCTAGTTACGAGAGATCAAAAAGTCGAAGTGGTGGGGAGA